ACTGCCTTTTTATATTTATTCTATTGGAATTATTTACCTTTGTTTACAAGTTTTTAAGGACTTATTTTATGAAAAAGTTATTGATCATATTAGATGTTGCATCTTTGTGTTTATATTCTTAAATATAGAAATCAAACTTTCAAATGTACCTTTGAAAATCACCAAAGTTCAAGCTCAATAATCCAGGTAATAATCCAACAATGTTCAGTCAGGTCATCTGGACGGTTTCTTTTGTTGCTGAGACGACTTCTTCAATCTGAGGAGCCACCAGCAAACCGAGTCCCACCACAAACGGCACACTCCTATAGTGGAAAAAAATTTTTGCAGGTGATATGATAAGATGGCCTCCGGGGTCCGCCCTCTCCCCCGTCAACTCCTCTGAGGCATACTTACCAAAGTAGTTCAAAACACCAAAGTTCATGCTCTATTGAGCCTATTGTATCCATTATCCAGGTAGTAATCCTTTGAAAGTGTTTTTTCACAAAGATAAATTAATGCAAATCTCCTCAGATTTACTTCTCAAACAGTCATTTATATATGTGAACAGCTGAAGCTTGCCGATACTACCAATCTTTAGAGTTTACAGTTATTTTGTGCAGCCAAAATAGTAAAATGTAATTAACTGATGACTTTTAGAACTCTTTGTTATAATAAAACCAAGTAAATCTCATCATCAAAGTCGTGTTCTCGCTGCTACAAAATCACATCTTCTCATGTGTGGAATGCAGACATGTTATTGTACATCAGTGGCAGCAATGTTAGACAAATAAGCCATGTAGGCTGCTTGTGTTGTCTCTCACAGCTGTGGGATTGTGCGTGTTGGGGGGTGATATCCATCAGGTCTGTGATTCTTAGAGGGAAGAACATGCTTAGTCCTAATAAAAAACAACAGTTAATATGAGGATGTTTGCATTCCTTCTATATTCTTATGTTTTTGATGATTTCAGTGCATGCATCAACTTTAACTCAGGTGCCAGCAGGAATGACTGAGTTCTGTTTTAAGACAAAGCCAGCCTCATCTTGATGGTGTTGGGAGAGCCTGTGTTTATAAGGTGATTAAGAGTGCTTATGCTTCACCTCAGGCGACTGAGGTCAGACTAGTTCATGTCTAGATTTCAAGGGGCCTTTGTAAAATGATACAGGTCAAGGGCAAAATGAAATAACCTTTGGGTGGGAAATAAAAAGGCACAGGTGGCAAAACAAACCGGTTTTCTACGTTGTGATCACTGAACAAGTGCGGAGTTCCCTTTGTCTGAAAGTAAATGTCAATCACAACATGCCAGTCTTGAATGTGCAGATCTGTGGCCCAGCAGACTCTGCTCATTGATATTCTCGGAGAAAACTGGCACAAATGCTTTTGGGAACTCTTTCCCCCTTCGTTTGCTCATGAATATGAGTGAAATCCACATGTTTCAAATTTCTTTGAAGCAAATGAACAAACAAGAAGCTTACCGATGATTGTACTCTTAACAGTGGTTAGTAAAGGTTCAGGGGCTCTGTGTGGTATTAGTTAGTCGGATTATGTGTTATGTGCTGACAGTCATGTAACTTCATTTGTAAGTGCTCAAGTGTAACATTTGTCTTCTCAAAGGGGATCACTGTGAAGACAGATTCAGATCTGAGCAGTTTCTGCTGTACGTATCGTGTGGGATCGTATCAGAACTGGTAAATAACATTTGTTACATCAAAGGAGACTTTTTTTTAACCTTTAAATTCATTTTTCAACTCAAGTGCAGGTGTTTGGGTTAATTTATAGATTTGGTGTGTTGAATTTTGTATAGGTATCATTCAGCCGTTGTCTTTAACAGGCATGTTAAGCATGACTATACACAGTTGATCTCATTAATTTCCAGTCCATCATGTCCACTGATGTGTTTAAATATAAAAGGTTTTAAAAAAAAAAAAAGAGGAAATCAGTAATTTCTAACTAAATCAATTGTTGTTAGTGTAAAATGGAAGATATTAACAGATAGTACTGTTAATAGAATAGTACTTTAATTTGCAAAGTAACCAACTATAGCATATTTAGATTTGTTTGTGTCTTACACATAATGAGACTCAGAACAATATGAGTATTGCAGAGCTAATTTAAAAAAAGTTATGATCCTAAACACAGATTTGGATTTAGTTTCCATGAGATCCTGTTGCCTCGTTTTTGATCTTTTGGAAACGGACAGAGATGTTTGTGTTCTTTTGATTTTCCAGCTAGCTCTGTTTATCCTTGCTAAGTTGGTTATTTGCTAAGAGCACGTTAATTCCTCATGGGGATGTTATCATGACAAATATTGGATCACACATGAAACTATCTTCGAATCAACCCTTAGCTGGAGTCCTCAAACACCGTAACATTCAAACATTATTATTTTTCTTATCAAGACAGTCCAACCACATATACATGTTCTATCCTTTGGGTCTCAGCTTTCAGTTTGATTGTTTGCATGCAGTTTCATCTCAACTATTATTATTATTCAATATTTGCTACTTTCACTCAAACCACATGTGCACATTTTCAAAAATGGAGCAATACTTTTCAGACTACAGTAAGAAATAAATAGTATTAAGATGATTAAGATGGCATTAATGTTATTAAAATACCAAAGACTCATTTGCACATTTTTCCTCTGAAATCTAAATAGTTTGCTTTTTTACAATTTAAAAATGTATTTTTTGCTTCTATACTGGCACTTTGTGAGATTTTTGTACAGCCAGGTGTAGATCTAGATCTTGCTGTGCAAGTTTTAAATGCAAATTCCAAATTAATTAAGTTATATATTAATTTATTTTGTATTCAACATGATAGTTATAAACCATGTTTTTTTTAAAGCAATGCAGAAGTTCCTTAAAGATAACAGAGGAAAGTGATGCATGGTGTTGACTCAAAACAACAAATCTGCTTAACTAATAATCGAAACAACTGCCTAAATGTATACAAACATAAGAAGTTTATCAGGATGCAGGAGACCAGCAATGAAGAACGTCCTTTAGCATCTGTTTATTGGCCAAGTTTACTCACACGTACTTGAAATTTGTTGTCGGTGGTCACATATTCTATGTACATACAAGTTACACAAAAAATATGTCATAGTACAGAAACAAATTTGAACGCAAACAATAAATAAAAGCAACAAAATGAATACAAGTTTGCATAAATAGCATTGAAATTTAAAATGTAAAAAAAACAATATGAAAAACGAGAATAAGGATGCAACAAAAAGCAAACAAGATGGATCATTTCCAGCAGAAAAACAGTTCAGACGTTCATGATACTGGTGATAATGGGAAAGAAACTATTACTTTTTTGTTTGTGGTTCCACTTTTGACAGATCTGTAGCAGCTGCCTGGAGGTGGAACAAACAGCTGAAAGGTCTTTGGCGATGTTACCTGCGTTCCTCTTGACTCTTGTAGAATAGAGATCCTGAAGGATGGGCAGGGGAGCATCAGTGATGGACATGATCTGTTTACATTTCCTTTCTGTTTTTAACAACAGGTTTGGCTGATTTTAGTTTCTGCTTGCAAGATGGAACGAGCTAGACCAGACAGTGATCAGTGTCCCACTGCTGCTCTGACGACAGAATGATATACTTTGTTCATAACTGTATAGCACTGGTCCAAAGTGTTATTGTCCCTGGTGGGACAATGATGTGCTGTCTGCTGCCCTCTTGGAACTGTACAATTTCTGTCTAGCAAACAAATATGTGCTTGATTTCAGAATACTTTGTACTCAATAAAGTGACTGTAAAAACAGTAGGCAGTAAAAAAGACAAGTCTATTTAACTAGTCTTTGATCATCTTTGTTTAATTGGGGATATTTTTCTAAGTCATGACCAGATTTTAGGTGGTAATTTACTCTAGGTAGCAATTTAATATAACTGGAAGGACCAAAGAAGGGATATGTGTTTGTAATAAGATGAAATGGATGTTAATCTCTTTTGAAAAGTACTTTTAATACATGATATTTGGTCTCTAGATCTTTTAGGGGAAATCTTTTGAACATCTCTCGCAAATTTACCCGCTTAACAGCCAAAAAATAACATGTTCTGCTTCACTTATATTTCATGAAATTACACCTATTATTCAATTGTTTCCTTGTGTATCTTCTAATATGCAACTTTTACAAAAGCATAATAAATGCCTTTGACATTTTCTTTCTATCTATCATATGGTTAACGTATTGGTGTGAGTGAAGCTTTTTTTTCTTAAATTAAAAAGTAACGCAAAGTTTCTTTTAGCACCAACATCATGTCAGCATTTTACACAACTCTGTGTGCTGAGTGCTAACCTGCAAATGTGAACGAGCCAATACATTAAACCTACATGGTCTCTAAAGGGATGATTGGGTCATTTTTTTCAAAATTGCTCTATTAAATGTGGAAGTAAAATGTTTGAGTGCTGCTGAGCGTAGCAGGAAAATACATAATGTGGATCGGAACTATCATCTTAACTGTTGCACAATAAAAGCTGTGAAGCATCACAGTATAATAAGAGTGTGGCTGATATATTTTTATGACTTCGTGGTGTGAGTGAACAGTTTGGTCATCTTTTGTGTGAAATCAACACCTGGTGGCACTTTTTTCCAAAACGTGAGCAAATATTTATTGAAAAACTTGAAATGGCATGACTCGTGATGATAAAATATAGCACAAATTGTTTTTTTTATGGACAGAGTGTACAGACAAGGAAATATATGGGGTGAAACAGTGAATGTGTAAAATGAGAAACAAATCCAGAATAGAAGCATTAACAGAATTATACTTGACCGTTTGAAACTTTTCATTGGATTCAAAGTCAACAACCACCATACAACAAAAACAAAGTCCATTTGGCAGAAGATTTGAACTGTAATTCAACGAGAATCATCAAACATGAGCAAACAGGCAGATTTAGAAACAAGCAGGCAACAAGTTGCGTCAAGACATGGAGTTAGGTCATATTTGTTTTTATGATCTTTTCCAATGTAGGAAATAATGACTCAATGTTTGTGTCAATTTGATGATTTACAGAAAACAGTGTTGCAAGGGCTTCAAGTTTGTGATGGGCCACTGCATTCCTGAAGGTAGGAAGAAATGTTTGGATGTGACGCGTGTGTATTTGAGAACAATTTGTAAAACCTGCACAAAATGTCTCAAAGGTTTTGGGCTTTAGCAACATGTAATACTGAACCTTCTTTAGTTGTTGTCTATTTAATATTGTTGTCTTTTTAACTGCTTTTCTTTTTTTTATAGACTATGATGTATGTGCTGATGCCCCCTGTGAGCAGCAGTGTACTGACCATTTTGGTCGAGTGGTGTGCACGTGTTACCAAGGGTTCCGTTATGACCGTGAGCGCCACAGAAACCGTGAGAAGCCGTACTGTCTGGGTGAGACCTGATGCACATCAGTAAATATATATATATAATATACAGTATATACTTGTTGCATATCTGCGTATTGCTTACATATTTCACACGAGCTTTGCATTCTTTTCTGCAAAACAGAGATCGACAAACGGGCTTTAATTTTTCTTTTTTGTTTGTTTTCTGAGATAAAATAATATTCTGCATCGTGGAAAACTAAAACGGATTATTGTTAGTTTAGTTTGGTGCTGCTTCAGAATCAACATACGGTTCATGTTTTGATCTAAATGACTTATTTTGTAATTCTTTGTATTCCTTTGCAAGTTCTTTGAGTGTTTACCTTTTATGAGTTGATGTCTGATGTTGATGCTTGATGAATAAAAGCCAAACATATTCAAAATGTATCCATATGGACAATATTTTAACTATAACATATTTGATACATGCATTTTATAGGATGTTTATTGTTAAACGTGTTCCTTTTTGCATTAAATATATTTTTAATTTGTCAGCAAAGTAAAACTGGTACAAATTGCTATAATTTTGCTTGTCCAAACACAGTTTATACATATGTTCTAAAAAAGCACTCTAATTTTATCTTGAAGAAGATTTGTATAGCAGGTATTCCTTATTTATTATTATTATTTATTTTATTTAAAAAATGAAGAAAACCTTTCGAAGATCTCTTCCCTAAATTAACAACCAGTTCAAAATTAATTTTAAATGGTTTTCTCTATTCATCTTGTTTTTTATTACATACATGTTAAAGTGGGCCTACGATGCAGTAATACATTTTTTTGTTTGTCTTTATTTTCTCTTCACCACCTAGACATTGATGAATGCGCAGATAAGAACTCCAGTGCATGCGCTCAGATCTGCATCAACACTGCAGGGAGCTTTAGGTGTGAGTGTGAGAAAGGCTATTTCCTGGAAGAAGATGGAAAAACATGCACCAAGGGCGAGAGAGGTGAGCTTGGATGTTTTCTCTCCCCTCTGTCTTTCCAGGGCACATCTAGAAGCGATGTGGTGATGACTACTCTGCGTTAATGGTGCGTGTGTGTTAGAACAAATAAAAAAAGATGGGAGGGGGCACTACAAACATAAGCACCTGGTAGCCATTAGACAGTCCTTCCTCTTGTGGATGTCAGAAGAGTTCAGTCACAAAAATATAGTGCTGCCCCTGTGAGTCCATTTCTTCTCTGGTTTGCTGGATTCATTTGAAGAAAACACAAATGGTCCCGGCGATAAAAACATATTTTTTGTCTCAGATTGAGTAGACATTAAAGCAGTGAGGGGTTGCAGATGTGTTACTTCCTCCCATGAGAGTATCTTCCGTTATTATAACATTACATATGAGATTAGAAAGTTAGAAACTTTGGTGTTTTTATTTATTCATTTATTTTTGAATGACAACATTTAGATTTTTGAGTGTAGGCCTGAGTAATAAGCCTGACTGGAGGACAGCTGCCACTCCAGTTTCTTCTTGTTTACCTTTAAGTAAAATCCGAATTGAAACAACTACAAGGATTTCAGAATCAGAACCAGAATGCTTTTATTATCCTTGCACATTGAAGTACAACGAAATTACTTTCCGTACAGCCGTCCTAAAGATGGACAGAAGTGCGCAGAGAGCTGCAGCTTCTAAGATGCGCTGCCCCTGTTGCTTAGATAAGAAAGGGTTTGACACAAACATAAGGAGAGAGGTATTAAAAAAAAATATATCTCTCACACTGTGTCCTTGACTGGGCACCGTTTGAGGCATCAAAGAAAATCTACCACAGCAAAGCAACATAAATAGGCATAATACATATGTGTGTAGAGTGGGTAGGGGTGGGGGTCCCAGCACGGCCGCCAGGTGAGCGACACAGCCCTTGGCACCTTCGTATCTCCTAAGTTGCTGTGCCAGAGGAGACGAGGGAGGCCAGTGGAGGCATCGAGTTTGAGGGAAGGTCGTAGCACAGCACAGTCCAAAGCCCTGCCTCCACCCCAACCATAGTCCTGATAAGAGGTGTTTGTTTATCAGCCAGCTCGGTTGAGCTCTGTCACAGGTCCACGAACTTGGGAAAGGGAGGGGGTGGGGAGTGGGACAGAGCATTTTTGTTTCCATAACATCCAAGGTGAGATAGTCCGCCTTCCAAGGCCAGGTCCAGATTCAGATATCAACATCGTTTTGGGTCAGACTGTACTCGTAAATTTCTGTGTCTGCCTTAATAGTCTCGCTAGTACATTCTCTCATTGCGACTCCAGACAGCCAAATTTGATTACTTACGCCAAGTCGAGTTCAGTCAGTAGTACTTGCATGAATATGCTGCTATAAATACGTTTATGTTAGAGAAATCTGTTATTAACTAATGTGGGCATGAGAATACTCGTAATATTCAGTGACACACAGTCAATGGTCTGGTTGTTTAGTTATGTTGGAGATATCTTATTTTTATATTTCTCCCTTGAGTTTTCCCTTTCACTTTAGTTATTTAGGGTATATGGGGAACATAGTACTGAAGAAGCTGACGTTAAAAGTGTAAAACTACAACTCTGCCTCTTAGTCTTAACTCAGGATTGTCACATTTTCAGATGATGATTAAATTTGTCCATAGATAAAAGAGAAGTTCCATCCAAAGTGGGATGAAAGCCATCTCTTCTATTCAGACCACATTTTCTCAGAAAGCTTTCCCGTTATCCAAGTTCACCTCAATTTTCTGAACATTTTCCAGTAATTTGTGACATAAGCATTTTTCCATTTCCCAGCAGTCCATCTCTATGAGAAGTGTGATAATTTAATGAGTGCTGGAACTTGCTCAGCCACATGTGAAGATTTCCTCCAGATCAAGAAGTCAGTCCTGCAGCTAAAGCAGAAGGTATGAGAATTCAGAAAATCCCAATTTGTTTTTGTACTTTTTGCCTTACAAAAAAAATAAATTAAAACCTCTGTTTTCACTAAACTGCTTTTACATGAAACCTGTACTTTTTCTTAATATGATTTGTTATAGAAGGACCCAGCCAAAAGCCCCTTCTAAGAACTAAACTTGTCTTTTTGATTTAGCTTAATCCTTAAAACTATTATTTTTCTTTATCACTTCCTATTGCTCAAGCTTTATGTTCACGAGTCCTTGCCTAACAGTATTTCAGAAACGACAGCAGCTACATTTTTAACGACTATCATGGGATATAATACAGTTTAAAACATAATAAAAAGACTGAAACATTTTCTCGCTATCTCACATGCAGACTTTCATTTTTCAAACATGTGAATTGGTAGAAAGTTTATATAAAACGCAGCGTTAGTTCATGTCCACCTGTGTGTGAAGCTATCTTAGCACAGGTCTGTCAGTAGCACCGCTCAGCACCCTCCACTGTAACATTTGATCTATTGCTTCCAGCTGGGTGGTGTCGGGGTGTATATATAGTTCAGCATATATTAAGAAAACGACATGGAAATGTCATGTTTGGTCATTACTATACAATTTAACAATAGTAGTGAACATTTATGATTATATACTAACTATTAGTGGGAAATTAAAACTACAGTAAGTTTAGAATTACATTTCACTGATTAAAAAGTCACAATGTTGGCGTCTTTTTCTGATGAACCACAACTTTATACAGACTGTATACAGTGAATGGGAAAAAATGTCTTAATCAGGAAAGCTGTACAAGTATATGTGTGTATTTAAGTGTGTGTACATGCTTTAATCATATGTTAAGACCTTGCAACGCATCTAGGTATTTTATGTGTTTCCTACTTGGATCACAAAATCTGCAAGATGTTACACAGACTGGAGATAACTAAATCCACTTAGCATGCAGAGTAGGAGCTCTCCTGGTCGTACTCAGTAATGCAAATGGACTGTCTGGCTTCCATCTGGTTTGGTTCTGGTTTCTATTGTGGTGCAGCTATGAGATCAGCTTTCAACTTCAGCAGGGCATGTAATTTTAGCATAATTTTACATGATGTGGGCTCTCCGGTGTGTAATTTTCTTGTCATGTTTGACAGTGCAGACTTTTATGAATCGTTTTAGGTAAAACGTTTTAAGAACCAATTGATAAAATTGCACTATTACACTTTTTTTTTACGTCAATTAAAAGCAACAAACAATAAAACACTTACTTAGTCATCCATTTATTTCAGCCATTTTTGATTATCATTGTCGTCTTTGGTGTTTTGTGTTTTTTCCAAGATGGCCCTGCTGTCAAATAGTGCGGACATCCCTGTGCAGATGACCAATGAAAATATCTTGACATCACCTGTATTTTTACCAGGGCCTTCAGGTTCCCCTGGACCTCCAGGTAAGACACCATGAGGCACCTTCATGTAGAAGTTCTGGCATTGATCAACAGCCAAAGGGTTGTGTTTGGATTTGGCTGTTTGTGAATGCTAATGTTAACGTGCATAATGTTCCCAGTGCAGGACAGCTGCTCTTAATATAGCCAGATCCCAAAAGTTATCACAGTTTATCATGAATATCCAAACCACACGATAGATGTCAAAACGTATTTCCAAAACCACAATTCACCACTTCTCGTAACACTGGTGGAAATTAAGAAGTCCACCTTATCAATCAAATTTATATAATCATGGCTTTTTATTAAAGAAAATTACAATTCTAACCTGTCTGGGGCATTAGAGGGATTATCAGGATTAGACCAACAGTAAGAAGTCATTAGTAAAATATTTCTGTCACGACCAAAACAGACTGACCACTAGTGTCATTTTGTAGCTATGTAGTGAAATAGCTGTATTTCTAAAAATCACTGTTCTATTAAAATGTTTTTATTTGTGTCATAAGTTATTACTTAAATCAGGGAGTCTTTTTTTAGGAGACACGGGACCTGTAGGTCCCCAAGGACTGATGGGACCCCCTGGTCCACCTGGTCCCAGAGGTTTTATGGGGCCCATTGGACCCACACCAGATCTGTTCCACATCAAACGTGGCCCTCGAGGACCTGTGGTGAGTAATTTATGCTTTTTTTTTT